AAGAAAGGTGGTCAAACTTACGGCTTCATCTCCTCCGTATTTTAGAACTCAGGAAAACAATGCTCAGGCACTGAGGGCTTCCCCCCACCTCCTCCCCAAGTTCAAGGTCAGTTTGACACTCTGAATGGTTAAATCATCCTTGGCAGAGTCTGAACTTGGCAGAAGCTCCGTAATGAGAAATCCAGATGACTGGTATCATTTGTCACGTGAGTGCCCCGCACTTAATCTAGCACTGGTTTGTTTTTGTAAGGAATAGCAGTGACTTAAAAGCAGTCATTAGGGATGTTTAATATTTTAACTGCTTTGACACTAGATGCAGTCTTCACCTTTAATGGCACCTTTTAGCATTAAACTCTACACATAAATAAGCAGCGTAGGCCTCCTTGAGTCAGTTCCCTTCTGCGTGCCATACCAAAAGGATTCCATCAGCTGCTTGCCCCGCTTATGAAAAATGGCTGAGCTTTCTCTAAAGCCCCGGCTGGATTTCACTGACGAAGGCAGGAAACCGAGCGTGCAGGCTCACTCCGCTCAGACTCCTCTGGATTTTCTACCGTCTCTTAAGTGAAGCTGCAGAAATCATGCAGCTTTTCGAAGGACTAAGATGAATATCAGAGTGACATTTCAGGACCCTCAAGCAATTTGTCTGCTGGGTCAATACACACTACAAATAATGCTGTCAAAGGCTCACAACCAGTCTTTATGCCATAAATCAATGGATTAACCGGGGTCTACTTGACTTTAAAGCGTGGGCTTTTTACGCGCTATCCTATACTCATTTACATAAACACTTACCAGGTGGGAGTGATGGTGGACGTGGGACAGGCACCCCCGAATTTTTTTCTGAGTTGATCAATTTTCATAATATGAAAATTGCCCAGTGAATTCAAAGAAAATAGTAAACTCAATCATTTCCAATAGACCCAATCTTAATTTGAAATTCTTTCATTCTCCTCATTCCTCTAAACATTCTCAATAAGAAACAGAAACAAACTATAAACATGATAAACAGTTTTTAATATATTGAGAAACTTTCATTAGCAGAATATGACTTTGGTCTTTCACATTTTCTTTTGAATGCCAAACAGAATATCAAAAGACCAGGGAGTCTTAGTCTTAACCTAGCCACTGTAAGGAAAGAAAAAAAAATTTCCTTTACTCTCCTAAATTCTGTAGCTGGGACCTGTGAATTAAACTAACAAGAGATTAACAGAAGAAAAAAGTATATTTTTTTTTATTGATGTCAAAGTTTTTATGTGCATGGGGACTTCACAAAAAAAGAAGTGAAAACCCCATAGAAGCAGTTAAACTTGGAAGTTTATATACCATTTTAACAAAGGGCAATAAATTGTGGAGAAGTGACTAGTCAAAGGGAAGGGGGCTTTGGGGCTACAGGGGCAGTAAATTGTGGAAAGCTTTCTATCTGAGGAGACTAATTGAAAATAAGAATTACTTTAGTAAGGTTCATTAACTAAATCTATCTCATCTCAGTGCCGACTTTCCATCTTCTTCATGGCCACAAGACTCCTCTGGAATGAGGATGATGGCAGTCCTCATTTCTGAGAAGTGTCTGCTTGTACCAGATAAGAGAAGTGCTCAGGCCCTAGCTGGTTTTGCTCAGTGGATAGAGCATCGGCCTGTGGACTAAAGAGTCCCAGGTTCGATTCCAGCCAAGGTTACATGCCTGGGTTGCGGGCTTGATCCCCCCCCCAGTAGGGGGCGGGCAGGAGGCAGCCGCCCAGTGATTCTCATCATTGATATTTCTATCTCCCTATCCCTCTCCCTTCCTCTCTGAAATCAATAAAAATATTTTTTTAGAAGAGCTTTTTTAAAAAAAGAGAGAGAAGTTCTCAGAAGGCTCCTTTATACATTAGTTATTTCTCCATTGCCTTACACTCAAAATAATCTATACGCCAAGGTGACATTTTGGGGTAGCATATTTCGATCCCCTTCATTACTAAATTTCCTCATAAATATTTGTTAGTCAATTCATTTATCTGGGATCTAGTTTATGCACCAGTGAAATAAGGGAGTTGGAACAGATTTTTACATTTCACTCATTCTTTGATATTCTAATTTTTTAAAATTTCTGTGCATTCATTGTGGGTTTCATTTATAAAGGCTGTATACCTAAGTAGTAAGCTATATAACATATAGACACTTTTATCAGGCACAACCAGTGCAAAACTGACACTAGATAGAGTGAACTGATATTCTCCCGAAATTGACTTGTCGGTTCAAGAAATGTATTGAGCACATGGTGTGGGTAGAGACAGTGAGGAGGATAAGAAAAATGCAACCAGATGGGGAGATGAGACTACTGCCCATGTTTTCACCAAAGAGATCCAGCAAAGGTAAAGAGGATACTGCCTCACAGCAAATGTTGAGGGGTTCTCGGGATCCCATATATTGATTCCAGTCCTCCTCATATGCTGCTTTTCTCCATGGTACACGGACAGTATTCTCATCATGATGTTTCTATCTCTCTATCCCTCTCCCTTCCTCTCTGAAATCAATAAAAATATTTTTTAAAGAGCTTTTTTAAAAAAAGAGAAGTTCTCAGAAGGCTCCTTTCTACATTAGTTGTTTCTCCATTGCCTTCCACTCAAAATAATCTATACGCCAAGGTGACATTTTGGGCCCAGCCAAGGATACATGCCTGGGTTGCGGGCTTGATCCCCTCCAGTAGGGGGCGGGCAGGAGGCAGCCAATCAGTGATTCTCATCATTGATATTTCTATCTCCCTATCCCTCTCCCTTCCTCTCTGAAATCAATAAAAATATTTTTTTAGAAGAGCTTTTTTAAAAAAAGAGAGAGAAGTTCTCAGAAGGCTCCTTTATACATTAGTTATTTCTCCATTGCCTTACACTCAAAATAATCTATACGCCAAGGTGACATTTTGGGGTAGCATATTTCGATCCCCTTCATTACTAAATTTCCTCATAAATATTTGTTAGTCAATTCATTTATCTGGGATCTAGTTTATGCACCAGTGAAATAAGGGAGTTGGAACAGATTTTTACATTTCACTCATTCTTTGATATTCTAATTTTTTAAAATTTCTGTGCATTCATTGTGGGTTTCATTTATAAAGGCTGTATACCTAAGTAGTAAGCTATATAACATATAGACACTTTTATCAGGCACAACCAGTGCAAAACTGACACTAGATAGAGTGAACTGATATTCTCCCGAAATTGACTTGTCGGTTCAAGAAATGTATTGAGCACATGGTGTGGGTAGAGACAGTGAGGAGGATAAGAAAAATGCAACCAGATGGGGAGATGAGACTACTGCCCATGTTTTCACCAAAGAGATCCAGCAAAGGTAAAGAGGATACTGCCTCACAGCAAATGTTGAGGGGTTCTCGGGATCCCATATATTGATTCCAGTCCTCCTCATATGCTGCTTTTCTCCATGGTACACGGACAGTTCTGGGGGTGCTAGTAAGTCAAACTGAGTCGCACTTTTATTCGTCCCCAAGAACTGCATCCTGTGGTCAGTTCCTACCCAACACCTCAACTGGTTTGGTCTTGAACTACTTCATGATCCCAAATGGATCCAAGAGAGTCCCTCAGAAAGAATGTGTCTATAGTGACTCCCCTGTTTCTTAAAAGCAACGTTATGAAAGAGGAAATTGCCAGGTTCCGGTGCAGGAGAGATAGAGATGCAGGTCCAAAAAGCAGCAGACGTGGGTCCTGGGCGGTTGCTTTGCCTTCTTAGTCAGAAGCAATGCATTTGGAAAATGGGGACCAGGCTGATTCCTCAACCAAAGTACCAACCGAATCGAGGATGCTCCTTGATGAAAGAACAAGGGAACATTTTCAAAACACTGGCACCCCATCAGAGAGCAAAAGTCAGTAGTTGTGGCCTGTTCCACATGCATCCCCAGCTCTATTTGTGTCCACGATGACAAAAATGCATCTGTCTAGTGTTAGAATGACACCGGAGAACTTCATTATCCGAAGTCCCTCTCTGATCATTGAATCAGAAGGGCGTATCTTCCTGTTACTACTCCCTGAACTCCAACCAAGACCTGATCACAAGGCAGCAGGTCGGCTCTGGGAGCCCACAGGAAGCATTCCCCATCGGGAGCCAGTTGGTTAGGGATGTGGACAGGGATGGGTTTTGTTTCAGCTGGAAGTCCTGGGTACTTTTCCTCGGACCAATCAGAATCGGGGGCTTAGGAGAGCGCACCAAAGGTGATCTTGCCTCCTCTGACCGGGTAGAGGTGCCGAGGTCCAGCTGCTAAAGTCTTTATGGGAAGTACCTGGAGTTGTCGGGTTTGCTTTGATGGAGAACAGGGATCAGAAAGCAAGAACTGCCCACAGAGTGGAAAAATGAGAATTTGAGGTGTGGTACACTTAGAGGGGAAAAAGAAAAGTGGTCAGTGCTTTCCAAAATTCCAGTAGGAAATTTGGGTAAGGACTGGCGAGGGCTCCACCACATTGGAAAGCTCCCTTTGGGTTACCTAGTCCAACAGGTTTCACCAAAGTTGTGTCTATGCAGCAAATAAATTCAGAGGAGGGAAAAAATTGAATCCATCAGGCAACAGTTGTTCCAAGTACAGCTGTAATAGTGGATCATAGAAAGGCTAGAAATGACCAGATAGTCAAACTAAGTTCTTGTTTTCAAAAACCTACTATTTCTAAAAGGTGTTCTGTGCCCAGCCGGTGTGGCTCAGTGGTTGAGCGTGGACCTAGGAACCAGGAGGGCATGGTTCGATTCCTGGTCAGGGCACATGCCTGGGTTGCGGGCTTGATCCCCAGCAGGGAGTGTGCAAGAGGCAGCCAATCGGTGACTCTCTCTCATCATCTCTCATCATTAATGTTTCTAGCTCTCTCTCCCTCTCCCTTCCTCTCTCTGAAATCAATAAAAATATATTTTTTAAAAAATAATAAATAAAAGGTGTCTTGTAAAGGGGGAGGGTCCTCATTTTGCTGAATGTCTCCTTAAATGTGTTCAAGTTGTCACTTAGTAACTTACCTTTTACACTTTTCCAGAGGTTGGAAGAAGCAGGAATTGCTGACCCCTGATAATCCAGGCCTGGAAACCCCATCTGGAATAGTCCCTACAGCCCTACAACATGGAGATTTGCTCAGCCTTCCACGAAAAGGTAATCCAGCGGTTTGATACATACAACATATTCCAGTGCACAGCTTATCGGACTCCATTGTGTATTCTCTGGAAGTGTTATCTCCTATGCCAGTGATGGCGAACCTTTTGAGCTCGGCGTGTCAGCATTTTGAAAAACCCTAACTTAACTCTGGTGCCGTGTCACATATAGAAATTTTTTGATATTCGCAACCATAGTAAAACAAAGACTTATATTTTTGATATTTATTTTATATATTTAAATGCCATTTAACAAAGAAAAATCGACCAAAAAAATGAGTTTGCGTGTCACCTCTGACATGTGTGTCATAGGTTCGCCATCACTGCACTAGAGTGTTGGGTGGGCCAGCCACAGGGCTCCGCAGATCACCCCGGGCAGCCACAGGGATTGTGAAGGAGACTGAGGCAGGTACCTGAGTAAGGAGCCATCCAGAGGACAGTAGGGCAGGTGCCCCGAGGTCTTACATTTCCAGTAGACTAGGCAGGTGGCTTTTGTCACCTTAGTCTCTTGGAGGACGGTGGGCATCTGGACCAACAGTGCAGCCACAGCTGCTCAGGGGTTTGTGCTGTGGGCGGGTGCTGCGTTTCCCCTCAGTCCCCAGGGGTTGGTGGTGTGGCAGGCATTGGTTAGCAAGGAGGAGCCTTGTGCTTCAGCATGTGAGGGACAGGGAGGGACAAAGACAAGCCCTATGGGTCTTAACTCAGTGGTCTCAGGTGGGGCAAGGTCAGTTCAGAATGATATTTAACTCATGTGACTTTCCATTTATGGAAAATCTAAGCATCCAGCTGTTTAAACTGTTTGTTGACTTTTAACATGCCTTTCAGATAGCGAAAAGTGTCATTGCTAAGTGCTGTAGGGCCCCGAAGCCTCATTTGGGGCCTCTTCGGCCAGGGGATGAAGAGGTGGCTCTAGGACAGTGATGGCGAACCTTTTGAGCTCGGCGTGTCAGCATTTTGAAAAACCCTAACTTAACTCTGGTGCCGTGTCACATATAGAAATTTTTTGATATTTGCAACCATAGTAAAACAAAGACTTATATTTTTGATATTTATTTTATATATTTAAATGCCATTTAACAAAGAAAAATCAACCAAAAAAATGAGTTCGCGTGTCACCTCTGACAAGCGTGTCATAGGTTCGCCATCACTGCCTTAGGCACATGCCCCGGGTTGTGGGCTCGGATCTCCAGTGTGGGGCTTGCAGGAGGCAGCCAACAATCAATGATTCTCTCTCATCATTGATGTATCTATCTTCCTCTCCCTTCCTCTCTGAAATCAATAAAAGTATTTTTTTTAAAAAAGAAAGAAAGGAGGGGCTGACATGCTGATGTAGGCCACCCTGAGCAGTACACGTTAATGAGTGTACTGGGAACCCCACAAAGCCCGGTTTTGTAGCCTGCTGTTCTGGTTCATGGATGAGAATATGCATTGGTTTCGGCCCATATTCTGGTGGGAAGCGTTCAGGAGCTGTACTAACAGCAAATATCGACCACCGCAGAGTTCACCTAACAGCTTTTTAAAAGTAGTTATCCCTTAAAAATCAAACTGGGCAACTCTATGTCGACTTCAAAGGCCTCCGACGTTAGATTTATTTGCTAAGCATCTACTAAGTTCCAGGCACGGAGCTGGGTGTTTTCACAGCATTGTCACATTTAAAAGCTAAATAAAGAGGGAGGCGGCTTTCATTCCAGCCCATTGTGAGCTTCCGTTCTCCATCCTGCAGCCGTGGTTTCTATAGCCTGGCTCACAGCCCACGCTCACACTACTTGGCTGCCATGCTGTTGAAGAAGAAATCTGTGCTAACCAAAATATTCCTAATCATTTCACTGCCAGCCTGTGTATAGAGAGACGATCTCCTTGGTAATAGATTATTATTATTATTTTTTTTTAGTAACTGGCTCTGATTACCCACACAACATTACTTTCCTTAAACACATGCTCTTCCAAATCTCCTATTACTTTGTTCTGTTAGTAAGTTAGTAAATAGGAGGAGAGGATTTGTTTGTATCTGTTTCTGGGGGCTGCCATAACAAAGTACCACCAATCAAGTGGTCTAAACAACAGAAGTGCCTTGTCTCATAGTCCTGGGGGCTAGAAGTTCAAGATCAAAGTGTCTGCAGGGTGGTTCCTTTTGAGGGCCGTGAGAGAGTCTGATCCTTGCCTGTCGCCTAGTTTCTGGTGGTTTGCTGGCAACTTTTGGGGTGTGTGTGTGTGTGTGTGCGCGCGCACGCACGCACACGCGCAAACACACATGCATCTGCATATGAACATGACAAAACCAGGTTTAAATATGCACGTTCACTTTCTCAAGAAAATATATTACATTCAAATAAAACATTACCAAAACGGGTCACCCAGTATTCAATTGTTATTAACACTTTTTTTTGGGGGGGGGCATGGTTTTAAGGAGGTCTTTTGCAAATACAAGGTGTGCCAAAAATTAAATCTCGCTAACTTGTATAATGAACTCCACTGTCATTGAACTTGTATTCTCTTATTTTAGGCGACCTCTATGAGTTAGGGACATAGGGTATTGCCATTGCTGTGTAATTGGTGAAAAATAAGTCCCCCCCCAAAAAGAAATAATAGGTGTACCGGCACAGAACCTGTTAGGGGAGAAACTAGAAGTAGAAGCCAGGTTTCTTGCCACTTAAGTCAAACAGAATGCAGAGTACACTTCCTGTGAGATACAAGTCTTCACAACGCGAATGCTCTGTCACTCTGTGGAACTGAACAACTCTAATATTATTGAATTGCCCATTGGATTCCACCCATTTGGTTTCAACATAATCAAATGCCTTGTTCAAGATGTTGGTGAAAGGCATTTCTCCCACACCAGAATGAATTTGTTTCCCAACCATACGGATCGGTGATGTGATTTAGTGGATTTTGCTTTCTTATGTAGTAGAAACCTTTCCTTATTATATGAAGCTAATTTCCAGCATATGATAACCCGTCACAAGTCAGGTCATAAATGTCTAAGACCAAAGTCAGTGGTTCTAACCACCCACGAAGAAGAGGCTGCCTCGCTGACGTGGCTCAGGGCTTGAGCATCGACCCCTGCACCAAGAGGTCACAGGTTCGATTCCCGGTCAGGGCAGGTGCCTGGGTTGTGGGCTCGATCCCAGTAGGGGGCGTGCAGGAGGCAGCTGATCAGTGATTCTCTCTCATTGTTGATGTTTCTATCTTCCTCTCCCTTTCCTCTCTGAATCAATAAAAATATATTTAAAAATAATAATAAAAGAGGAGAGTACACGGGCAAAGTGACAAGGGCAACAAGGAAAGAATCCTAAGGAGGTGGCTGCAAGATCAGCTCCACAGGAGGGAACGAATGTGTCGTCCAAAGTTCCGGGAGGTGTCGGCCACCGTGACATGAACCCAGGCCTCAGGGTTCAGATGGACCCACCAGGGTTCTTGTCATGAGTTCATTGAAAATGGAGGGAGAAGAGGAGGCAGAGTGGGATGCAGTCCAGGCTCTGGAGTGCCGGCTGCCCTTGATTGAAGGAAGGGAGGTGTGTGTGTCGGGAGAGAGGATGGCTCGTTCCATCTTGGCTTCTGGGTGGACCAGGGCGTGCGTCCCGATAGAAATCTGGGTCTGAGCGGGTCCCCTCCACACAAAGGATTGCTCCCTTATCTAGCGGCGTCCACACGACCGCTCCGTCTGCCCTGCCAGATGGAGCACCGTTTCCACATGATGCACTTGGCAGCGACAGAACATCTATTTTAAGCTGCCTGTTCATTTTTCATGATGCGCATTGCAAAAGCACCGGGCTAGCCCACTGTGTTTATACGTGAACTTGCATCACTTTCAAATACAAGGTAGCCATGCGGCTCCTGGGAGTTGGGTTCCCGTGTGGGAGGCTGGGACTTGCCCTCTGTAGATCCATCTGAACAGTGTATAAAACAGGCAGAATTTGGGTTGAAGTAGAACAGACGTGGCGGGGTCCTAACCCGTGGGATGGAAAGACCACCCAACAGAAGGGTTGGAAGGTATGAATGGGGACGGATGGACCGCTCTGTGGTTTAAGCTGAGACTCCTGGGATTGCTTTTCGAGTGTTTTAAATTTGATAATATATATACATCTATAGACACACACACACACACACACACACACACATTCAGAAAGCAAATGCATTTGCCAAGATTTCCCCTCCGCATTCTTCAACCCAGATGGCTTTTCAATGTCTGTAACCCCTGCGTCTCTGATGTGTTCACAGGGGACCCTCTGAGGACTGGCTCCTGAAAGATTGCCCTCCGAGGAAATGTCTGTGCAACCTCTGGTCTCACAGTGGCCACATTTTGCTCAAGTGTATGGCCTAACCCTTTGCCCAGGTTTTTCTAAGAGTACAGCAGGTTCTTTTATTATTATTTTTTAAAATGTCTTTAGATTGATTTCAGAGAGGAAGGGAAAGGGAGAGAAAGGTAGAAACATCAATGATGAGAGTTATTGATCGGCTGCCTCCACTTTCTTCTCTCCTGCCCCACCCAGGATCGAGCCCGCAACCCGGGCATGTGCCCTGACCGGGAATCAAACCTTGACCTCCTGGTTCACAGGTCGATGCTCAACCACTGAGCCACGTCGGCCGGGCATCTTACTTGTTTTTATCCATCTTTCTTTAATGCATGCATAGCTCACAATCTTTAATATCAGAAGTGTTTTGGGGTCTTTATTTAGATGTTTGGTGATGATTTTGTGACCAGATGTAGGCCATGGGCATTTAACTCTTGTTTCTATCAATTAGCCTATAGTAACACTGGTTTCCTTATACCTTATTTCACTTAAAGTCGAAGTTTCCAAGAACCCACTGATAATGTTAAGTGAGAACTGATTTGTAAGTTGGAGTAAACAAAAAAAGGGTAGACGTTGAAGTCAGATATCAATTCATTCCTAATTCTCCTCCAAGCTGTGGGACTTTGGACAGCAACACAGACCCTGTAGGTCTCCCTTGTTCTCGTTTACAAGAAGCCAGGGTCGGGGTGAGGACTCAACGGCTCTCTCT